TGGCATGGCTCTAGACTCTTGGTCTTACTTTTCTTATCTTCTGAAAGCGTGTCACCTAAAGCTCAAAGAAGCATCTTGCTTTGTGTGACCAACAGTCCGAAAAACCAAAAATTTTCCATGACATACTGTAGGACAAGGAAAAACAAAAAATCCTCACATTTGAGCAAATGGACTGAAAATCACTTGAATTTTAATTGATAATTAAAATAGTTGGATATTACTTTCATGTTGATTGTCATATTGACTAATGATTTCTGCTTTAGAGGTGGTGCTAAAGGTCAGGAGAGCCACCGCTGACAGTAAAACTAATCCTTTAAGAATCCATATTAAATGTCACAGCAATCTGGCAAGTGGCTTGTATGATTTCTTACTCTGAAAGTGTTAGTTACTGACAGCAATGATGCCTCGCTAGCACGACCAAACACATGCTCAAATTTGGTGTCTATATAACGAAATAACTACCATATTGTTTTTTTTTGTTTTTTTTATTGCAGATTGAGGAGGAACTGGCCGCACTTCAGAAGGAACGTACTGAAAGGATCAAGCACTTGTTGGAACGTCAGGACAGAGAAATTAACGCTTTTGACACAGAAAGTAGAAGTCTCGGCTTTGGAAGCCTGGGATCTCTGGACTTCCCCAAAGAAGACAACAGATGAAAGTGGACTTATCTTTAGAGGACAACATATCCGTGCCCTTTTCATGTCCACTTGACCGTTTGTCACATCCACGGTGACAAAGCTGGATAACTTTCTCTATTGCTTTTCTTCTTCTCTTAGATATTGCATCTTTGAATCGAGGTGTTACGTGCAATGAGAACTTCTTTTGTGAAACTTGAAAGGGGGAAAGTAAAACAAAAGAAATCTACAACAACATGTCAATAAAAATCAAACCTAGTCAGTGTAACTCAAAACTTATGTGTTAAAAATAACAGACTCTTTCCTCCATGCCATTTCCTCCTTTTGGTATGAAATGAATAAATCAGGAAATTTTAGTAAAATGGGCACTTTGATATGTTTAAGTAGAAACTCATCATGTTCATATGATGCTTAATGTGTGTGTTACATGGAGGGACATTGTGGAATGTGAGCTGCGGACTCCCCCGTGGTGTTAAGCTGCTTTGTCTTTTTTTTTTTTGTATTCGTTTGGTTTCATTTTGTTCTATTTATTTTATTTTATTTTATGCTCTGAATGTGAATATTACTGTATGGGGTCACTGGATAAAGTCAGAGTTTATTCATTTTTTAATTTTTCTTTGGTCATACTTCCATATTGTGCTTATGCATACAGTATACTGTGGTCCCTCACTTTTCTAGGCAACAGTTCTTACCTTTTCTTTTATTTGATATGTAGGATCAATTGGCATTAGCTTGATCAACCCGTTTATCTTATCACAATTCAAGATCCCACTTGGTAAAACTGCTTATTATTGCATGCACTTTAAGGACAAATTCAGGTTGTGAAGTGAAGCATGAATCTGTCAGAGATTTTAGCTGTTTGTAAATAAAAGTGGTCATAGCATTTTTTTGTTTTAAGCCTATGGATACTGGACATAAGCGCCATATTTGATATGATAATTTCACAAATGCCTTTATTTAAGTTGTGCCTGAAGCAGATTTGAGTTACGTGTTTGTTATATCTATATTTTTATTTACTGAGGCCGGCACCATTTTGTTTTGGTTTCATCTAAACTTGTGAATCATTTAATGTTCACTTATCAAAGTTCTTGTAAAGGAAAATGGTGAGAATTGTGCTGTATAACTTTTGATATGAATATTTGTACATGAGAATATAGCTAGAACATACAGAGACACTGGTCTATTACTGATAACAGAGCTTAACGATAAAGATTTTGCTTCATTTTTGTTTTATAATATAGAGATATGGTCATACAATAGCTCAATATATTGCTAAGTCAAATCACTAGACTCTCAGATTGTATAAATGCTGGTCAATGGAACCACAGACTTCTTATAATATCATTCCGATGATCTTTTATTGATCAGCGGTTCTACAAAAACAAACACAACAACACGTGGGTCCAGATTGCATTTGAGTAATTAGTGTCTAATGATCAGATTTACATATTTTTTGCCATGTTCATTATGGTCATTGAACAGGTTGCACAATGTTTCCATTTATACTGAATGGAAAGATAATTGTTTGGTGCTTAATTTCTAATACCACCTTTAGCCTTGTAGTTTTTTGTCTTGGAGAGACGATTGATTTTTACAAAATGTAAACATGAAGCATTTTGAAACCCCCTCTGAGTCAAAACACTACTAAGTTTTTCAGACACTCATGACATATTTAGAGTACCCCATGCAGTGAAACCCTCTAAAAATGAAGTATATGTATGAAAAAATAAACACTATTTTATCACGGGTCAGTTTTTGAAACATTGTTTAATGTGGTGGTCTTGAATGCAACCCTGTTGTGTTTGACAGGTATTTCATGACCGGTTTTCTTTCTTTTCATTTCAGAGCCACGACTTGTATTAATGTTCAGTCATGTTGCTCACAGGGCTGAAAGGTGGAAGGTGTCCCTTGAATTGATAAAGTATTTTAAATGGAGGTATATAATGACATTCAAGTACAATTTGTGATGGCAATAGAACTTAAATGCTCTTGTTTTACACATAGAAACTTAAATTCTGAATTTGTTATGTTTGACCAGAGTGTGTTCTGAAGTTGAATGGCTCCTATAGATTTTTCAGCCTTTTACATTTTCACAAACTTTCTGAAATTTGATGAAAACGTTTCTCATATGCAGTAAGGCCTTTTGTCTGGTCACATATAACTGAAGCCTTGTGGACAAACGGTTCCATATAAAAGTGCTACTGGGGTGCTTGAATAAGGTTTTGCCTGACAGCTTCAGAACAGTTATGAACCTTACAATCTGTGTGGATTTTAAGTTAATAGAAAGATGTATTTAGTTAGAATAAAGGGGACTTTCCTAAACAACCTTATTCACCATTTCCTGTGCAGTTAAAAGACAAAATAAAAGAGATTCTGTTGAAAAAAAAAAGGAGTCTCAGTCAACATCCTGCATCTTATGACAGTGCATTTCATATTGTTTGTGCTTGCATTTCTTTGTAATGCTTTGTTATGTGGTCTAGGTGTTCTCACTTTTGCTTTTCTCAGGTACAGTATGCCCGCAATGACCTGCGTTGTGTTGAATGCTGATTTTTTTTTTTTGTTTTAAAAAAAAAATCATTTACTGTAGATCCTCAAACACACATGCAGGTCAAAGAAAACTTGTGAAAACCACAACTTTGAAATGGGAACAAGAGGTGTGAGGGAAGTTAAACTGCAGAGCGTCAAGTGCCACTTTCAAAGACTACTCGCATTTCAGGGTAAACTTGCTTGATTTAGGTGTTGATTGGCGGGGATTTTTTTTTGGCATGTCTTTACTGTATATGCTGGCAGGAATCCCAACTGAAGTTTCCTTGAAATGTCAACGTTTTGCTGCACCATCTGCAGCAGTTGCCTGCCCCACCACAACCCCTCTATTATCCCCTGGGGCAACTGGAAAGCCCCGAGGATAGCATACAAGTGGTTAGCCTTTACCTGAAGTAGTGCTGACAGGGTTGTGGTGTGTTGAGTTCCCCCTGTCTTTTCTCAAGTAGACAGTGGTTAAACAACAATACATCATCGAGTGTGGATGCTTGAAACCAAGACGTGATTACCACAAAAAAACAATGGAGATCATGTCAGCTCTCAGTGAGCTATTAAAGTTTATCTATTGCTCCCACACATAGCAATGTTTTTCTGTCCTGCAGTCTGACCTGTCATCAACCCTGTGATGCAGACGGCTGACTAAACACATCATCTTGTGTCTCCAAGCAGAAGTGACCACCATTCATAGAAGTTAGTAATGATAGTGGTGACGATGATGAGATTAGACAACACACGAAAAACCCAGTTTGTGTTATTTTGATATTTTGTACGTCCCTCTAGTTCCTCCATCCAATCCACCCAAACCAATCACAGGCCTGGAGGATGCAACACCATTACATATCTCGCACATGTAAAAGTTTCTGATTGAGAAATGCATTTCCTGTGACTTTGCCAGCTTCCTGCACAATGCTCATACGAAACACTGCTGCAAAAAGACAGGAGTGTTTGAAGAGCAGTTGTTACAGTTGTAATGATACAATTCAGTGGAAGTGTTTATCAGAAACAGGAGGCTGGTGAAAATTCCCTCTTACGATTGTTACTTAGACTTTTCACTTTTCAGTGAAACTGAATTTGTTGACTACCTCAGGGTAAACTTTGTGAGGTAACCATTGTAGCACCCAGGCACCAATAGCTGCATGAGTGTCTTTTGCTGTTGTTGAAATATCTAAGTCATATTTAACTGAAAGATCCGCACGAGACCCTGGATGATTTCTGAATTAAAGGAATTTCTGTTTTATGATGGAGAACGTGCATGAGAAACATCATCACTGTGAAGCTTTCTGCACTAAGTAAGTGATCTCACTTTTACTTTTTTCATTCCCACTAAGTTCTCACCTTCTCACCCACTCTCTCTAGAGGGCAGTAAAAAAGCATGTCAGTGAACTGTGTCAAGGGGTAGGCTGACCAGAACCTTCAATTATTTTCATGCACATTTGACACAGTTTTTTTCTAAATTCAGCAGGTTAACGTTCCTCAAGCGATTTAAATATATCAGATACGAGTATATTTCTCCATGAACAAATAAAAAAAGGAAGTGCTGTTAAAATGTTTTTTTTTGTTGCAATGGTCACACATGTAATAATAATAATTAGACAGTGTCCCTACATGCCTGCTCTGTGCACAGGCATGTAGGGACACTGCCCATTGCAGAGGAAAGAAGAAGAAAAAAAAAAAAAAATGCACATCTGAAAAAAAGGAGAAAATTCTGGGAAATTTGGTTGCCTCACAAAGTGCACGTCATTTCCTCCTATGACAAGTGTGTGGTTTCTGTTTTTTTTTTTTATAAAAGTTTTAGAGCAGTGTGATTATGACAAATCGGTACAATTTGCCTGCGATACTGAGTGGAGAATGAATGGTCATGTAAAGAGCATGTATTTTCAACAGTTTATGGAGCTAGCAACAAGTAAGTTTTATATCATTTTTCCTGAAACATCAACAAAACAATTAAACACAAAAGCATATTTTTCTTGACATTGTGCATGCTGGTGCTGTTGTGGTTATGTTTAGTGCCTTTTAGCTGCTGTTAGACTGACTCAAGGTTCATATTCAACTTTAGTGCTTCACAGTTTTTTTAACATTCAATTTCAACATTAAGTTTTGTTCCTGCATCAATGTAGTAAATTAGTTTTTCAACTGTTTGGAGAATCTGGCCAAAATCTAAAAAGACTGACAATGTATGATGGCATCTGAGCACATCATACCTAAACTCAGCTGTTGTATAATATGTCTGAACTGACAACATAGCAGACTTGTGGTGTTCTGTTTTCACTTGCTGAATGTTTGCTAGGTGGAGAATCTATTTTTACCTCTGCTATTCGCCGCTCGTGGCTTTAAAATGCAGTTCCCCTCACTGATGTGATGCAGGATAACCATAACTGACCAGTTCCTTTCTCCTCAGCATTACTCTCTGTCCTGCTGCTTATGGCTGTTGATTCAACACGAACGGTGGCAGCGAGCAGAAACCAGCAGTGTGGGAATTCTCTCCAACAGACTCTGAAGCTCACCAGACTTGCACAGAAAGAATCTGTCGATCTAATCAAAACATATGTGAGTACAGACATAAAAAGCTATAGCTTATTTTGCTGTGTTAAATTCCCATGTGCTTGCTCAGTATTTTACATACTACTGTATATGTGTGTGGTTTAATTCATCTGATTATATTTTTGTCCTTTGCTGTGTTTTTTTGCAGAAAGCCTCTCAAGGAGAGATTTCAGAGCTCTTCTGCAAGGTGTCAGTTAACAACGTCCCTGACCCCAACATCTCTGGCCTGGAGCCCTCAGAGAGGATCGTGAGCATCTACACACACCTCCAAGCCTTCATCCCGCATTTCAAACGGGTGTACGAGCAGCAGACAGACTTGCAGTTACCCATGAGCCCGCTGCTGGCCGAGCTCAGCGTTGTCAAAGCTCACAGCAGGAACCTGGCTGCTCTCATCAACAGCTTTTATCAGAGCCTCTTCCCAAACCTGCCTGTACCAGAGCCAGCAGGGGGGGCGACGGCACTACCTCCGCCTCAGAACGTGTTCCAGCAGAAGGTCTACGGCTGTGTGGTCCTGAAGACCTACAAAGAGTTCCTGTCAAACGTCTCCCGAGAACTGAGAAATCTAAAGAGCAAAGTCTGCAGGAGGAGGATACAAATAAACACACCCTTCTTCTGAGGACGATCCGAGGCTGACCTTAGACAGTCGTTTTCCAACAATATATATATATATTTTTTCTTTTGATAAAGTGAAATAAGATGTCTGGTACATCAGTGTAATGACACCTACAGTATTTATGATATTTAATATTTATTTTCTTGTATGTTTCGGAGAAAACGGGACACTGTTAAAAGATGAAGACTGTAAAGGTTATCTCTATGCAACTGATGTATATTTAATATATCTAATATGTTATGTACTGGTTCTACTTTGCTGGTGTAAACTTATTTACTATGACAGAAGTATTAAAAGATACTTTACATATGTACTTATTTGTGAACTCTGATTTCTTTGCGTGGTTGCATCAATAATGTACAATTTCATCAACACGCGAGAGTCTGGAAAAAGACAATCGCAACAAACTAAATTGATTTTTATGTTTTACTTAAGTCTTCAATTGAAGCAACAATACATACGTTTCTACAGTGCTGACAATTTTTTCCTACAAGTTTAAAAGAAACACAAAAACAGTATGATTCGTGCTCGAAGCATCATGTGCTGTTTTCTGCACAGAATCAGTCCATCAAGAGGAGTTAAAAGAAAATCAGGAAGCTGCTGAGACGCTGACTGAGCTGATATCAGCTCAGAATGACGCATGTGTTCAACACAAGGCTGCATCAGATAGGAAAGATTTCATGACACTGGCGGGCTGTCTGGCCAGTCACAAGGTGTGGGTGGGTGTGGGTGGGTGTTGGTCAGATAATTGTACGTGGTATGCACCGGCTTCATCATATCAACAGAGACGCAAGTGTGAAGTTGACATTCTGCAGAAAACCCCTCCCCTTTTTTTTTTTAAATTGATGAATAATAGACGCTGCGAGTAAACTTGTCTTCTATATATATATGGATCATAGATACCAAATATATTTGTTGAAATGAAGTAATGCTTAACTAAACTTTCCTCAGATCACAAGCTTTCAGGAAACTGGAAGTAGATGGGGGATTCACTCTAGGTCATGAATCAAGTTCCTCGTTATAACTCTGCTTTATTTAAAGCACAAAGCCAGAGGGTACCTCAGGACAACAGCAATTCTTCAGTCTACATTATTTATTCCATTTCACTACCCACTTAATGCTTTACAGGACCTGATAGGTCACTCATAAGTCCTCACCGTACAACACTTTTTTTTGCCTGCAAATACGAGAAAAGATAACCTGCACAACTTCAACTGGAAACAAACGGAATAACGTGCAAACCTCGACAGAAGTGGACAGGGCTGGAGATTGAACCCAGGACCCTTTGCAGCTGCTGTAACCACTGACCCACCTGTCATCAATCTACAGCTCAACACTAAGACAGTGTGTTGACTTCTGCTAAACTTCAATATTTTTTTTCTCAAACTAGTGTTTCCAAGGTCAATAATATAATTTTCTGTAGAGTGCTTTCTGAGTGAAGGAAAAAAGAACATGATAAACTATTCCTTATTTAGACAAAAATACAATCAGCTTAGCAAAGCTTGATGCTAACTATATGCAGCAATACTAACATTTGTTGCATTAGATTAAATTTAAATGCAAGATTTTTCAACTAATATGAGGAAAGTTATTATTGCATTAGCTGTTTGCATTATACACTGACAACAGACAGCAACGACATCAGTGACCTCAGCTAAATTTAAACTAAAAAGATCATGTTGACCAAATGTTATACACTCAAAGGTTTTAGGGATTTATATACATGGAAAATACTTATTAAACTGCTGTTATATGATGGATCATGTAGTACATGTGCAGCAACATTTCTCTACAAATAGGCCGCCTGTGATCAGGACTGAAATACAGACCACTTTACAACGTGGTCTGTACAACGATGAACAATTAAAAATCAGACCCACAATCAGGCTACATGTCATATTTTATTGCAAAAATATGGACAGTTTAAAAGGCCTTAATGATATAATGTCATGAACAGTATAAGTGACAAATCTAATAATTTAAATGGATGAGAAACTGCATAAAAATGACCCAGAATGTATCATATTGAAAAGCACTATATTATACATTTTACATAATCTGAAGATGTATAAAAAAATGTCATTAATGAATCAGGTGCAAGTTCAATTTCATTTAACATGATTTATATGTTTTGACCTATGGAGGGCAGTATACACTCGTCAATGAGGATGTTGACTAGAGTATGAAGTCGCAGTGCATCAGAAGTGCCGCTGGGTATCTTGCATTGTATGTATTGCATTCTCGACAGTCTATCAGGAAATGTTAAAAAATGAAGTGTATGTTTATTTCCAACATACAATACATATTCAGTGCCAGACTGTACAGTAACACCAAAAGCTGGGGACTTAATTAAAAAGTCACGACCAATGTCTTTAATGAAGAAACTACATTAGGTTGTGGAGTCAGTGCAGGTCAGTATAGATAAGAGTAGAGCAGCAGCTTTCCATAAAATGAAAAAAAGATTTGTAAGATTAGAGATCTGCTTCTGACTGCCCATTTATAACCCACTTGCCTTAATCTTCATTATTTTGAGCCTTTCTGAAAAGGCTTACATGAGATTACTGTTCTTGATGTTTTGACCAAAAAGTGGGAGTAATAGGACTGATAATATCTCTTGAAACATCTGGTATGATGAAGCTGCAAAGAGTTTGGTCACACTTGTATTATATGTCGGAATAAAACAAACGTGGTTTTAAGTGTAAGTTACAGCAGACATAAAATGTTCAACCATCAAGCATGACTTCCTCATGATTTTATGATCTATGAAGGCTCAGACTGAGTAATATTTAAAGTGTTCATAAATATAATTAAGAGTGAGCATAATAATGCGTTTCCATAATCTCCAACACACACTCTGTTGTGACTTCTCTGAATTGTTAAAGAGAATTTTCCAAATTTAAAATATTGTAATGACATCATATACCACAGTTCACTTGAGTTATTTCCATAAGTAGTTTGCTCTCTTGAGGGTACACTGACTTTTCTGAGAAAGCATGGTGTGAACTGCTGGTTGTTTTGTTTTCAAGGTTCATGTAAACTGAACTGCATTAGTTTGTCTCTAAAATCAGACTAAAATCTGATTATGTCACTACTTACAGTACATCACCCTTCTCTCCTCTGAATTAGAACTAATCAAATTTTGCTTTTTAGCATTTAATCTTGCATGACAGCACTCCCATTTCCTTTTTATCAGAAATGCACATTGTGAACTGGAGTCAGACCTGCTTCATGGGGTCTTTTATTGTGCAAATGTGGTGCGCAGAGCATGCATCAAGTTAAATATGCTGCAGAGTGTCAGAGTCAAGGCATTTCAAGTTATTGTCTTACTGTTGTTTGACACATATAGATACTTTGACAAACCTGTATATACCTGATTATTTAGAGTTATTGATTTATGGCATTAACATTTGTAAAGGTTCATCTAGCATCCATATTTGCATGCATAGTCATACTGTCTTTTACTCCAGACGTGGATATTTGATTATTGCTTTGTCGAACTACTAACAGCCTGATTGTGGTGATTCACTGATCCACTGATTATCTAATATTATTGCTTACAGTTAAATAAACTACCCCTAAACATCCACAATACACATATTTTCTTTGGATTTGCATAGTTATTCACTAAGTAAGGCATATAGTCAATGCAAGCAGCAAAGGTTGGTGTTGGAAACAAGCAATAGTTGCTGTTATAATTAATAGAGTCTTCACAAAGTCACTGAATAGTGAAGTGTACCAACCTCACTTACACAGAGTTGTCGTGTCCATATTCAAAAAGCGAATGTTCATTCTTGATTCAATTTCAAAGCCGTCCAGCAACTGCAAAAGAGTTTGACATTAGTTAAAACTGAAACTCCTTCCAACGTCATTCATCCATATCAACTATATTGTATAGCATAGTGTATATTCTGTGCACCTACCTTGAGGAAATGCTCAAATGTAATTCCCTCATAGAATTCATCAGGTTCCTGTGTATGAAAATGTGAGGTTACTGACACTGTACGGGCAAAGAGTGATTCAAACTTAAAGGTCCCATATTTTACACTTTTTTGGTATCTTTTATTTTATTTTTATTTTTAAGTGTTGATATCTATAAGAAGATATATTTGTGATTTTAAGTACCAAAACCCATCTCAGTGTACTTTTACATGATTGATTGGCTGACTGTTTTCTGAGTGATCAGATAAAATATAGCAGATTTCAGGTAAACACTCAGAGAAACCAAATCCTGCAAGGTTGAATGTTGGTCTGGGTGGGCTGGGCTTGGGGGATGGCTGAGGGCGGCGACTGTTTTGTTGTGACATCACAAAGTTACAGACGTCCTGGCAGCTCGTTTTAAGGCTCAGTTTCTGGTTCCAGGCTGTGTGCATTTCTCTGTGGACTGAGCACTTTAATACTTTCACAGTATTAATATAGAACCTAGACCTGCTTTATAATCAAAAAAGACATGGAAATCTCACTTTATACAATATGGGACCTTTAATGTTATCTTGAGATAATTTAGCTGACATACCATGTGTCCCATAGAAATACTAGCCACCTCCAGCATGGCTGCATCAGCAATGCTTTTGGCTGTTTCCTTCCCCAGTGCCCCACTGCGAGATAACAGCTCCTCCACCACCTGGACAGATGTGAACAACAGCTGAAATGTAATAATATTTCTACAATGACTTCAACATTTGCAGATCTTCTAAGGCTTGAGGAAATGGCATGCCTCTTTCCTTCCCTTATTAGCTGGCAATTATTATTTTGCAGGAAGGCAGCTTACACTCAAGTGTGGGAGTAAGAGATGCCCAATAACCATCAGTGGAGTTACATATAAAACACAGAGACAGCTTTGTTCTACTATGGCTAATCTGAATCATGCTCATAGTTCAGCTGAAAATGATCAAATGATGGTGATTAACACAAACACAGATAACAGTAAAACCCACATGATAAACTCATGGTGACCCAGGATGATTTTACCATTTGTTATCTTTTCTGGTTACATGCAGACATAAGTTCAGAGGCATTTTTTTTCACCCATAGAAGTAAACAGAGGCTTACATGTCTGTATTCTTCAAGAGTTATTGTCCCGTCGTTGTCTGTGTCATGCATGTTGAATAAAACTGCAGAGGAAAACACAACAGTCAGTTCAATAACAGCTCTGTCTCAGTAACAGATAATGTCAAGCATGCGATCATGGGATTTGTTTTAAGACACACATCTCAGTTTCTCCTTCCTGACACTCTCACGCTGTTCCTCTGTCATGTGCAGAGACGGGGGCCTGAAATGGGACATGACCACCAGGAACTCCTCAAAGCCGATCTCCTCAACCGTCCCCTCACCATTCTGGCGATAGTTTCTGTTGGAGTACACAAAGACCACATTAAAATCCCTCAAATATACTGATGCAAACTATGGAGTTCTACCTACAATTTAAGTGAAATTCCTAAATTTAATCCAACAGCATGTGAGATTGTGATTTAACTGTTTGTGATACCTTGAAAAGAAAAGTACCTAAGTTTGTGTAACTTTCAAACTTAAGGTGTCGACACTGTACCTTCTGTCAAAGAAAGCCTCTATGATCTGTGCACGGATGGGGTTGCATGCAAGATCTGGGATTTCATTGAAGTGATCTCTCCTGAGGGAGTAAAAAGGTTTTTAAGGAGTGGCACTGGAGTGACATAATTAATCATATGTTACACACTAACATGAAGCCTGTTAGGCAGGTTTCCAGTCACAAAGAAAGCTGGCAAACGGCCAAGCTGAATTATTAAGAAAAGTCATTTGCTTAAAATAATAAATCACAAGAAGACAGAAATCCGAAGATGATTTATTAAGAAAATGACTTAAAAAATAAAATAAAATAAAAATAAATCAGTACTTAAAAATGTTAAAACAAGTTACCGTAGACTTTCTTCATTGTGGCTCAACTGTTTGAATCTTTTATGCAGGACTGCAATCTGTTCAAGTGAAACTAAGAACAAACAAGAAGCAAACCTTAGGGCTAATCACCTGAGGTGATTTCCTGCACATGCAAAAACAGACAAAGCAGGCATACAACTCTTCAAAGCAATTAAGCATTACTCATATTGACATTTTAAATAAGTAATTCATTTGTTGAGAATCTGATGGCAACAGTTCTTTAATCCCTCAGAAGGTTTACTGGAGGCTTTCAAGGCAGTAGATTTGGATATGCAAAACACATTGCTGCAGTTTGGTGTTGTCTGTTCCTATGCAACTATCACACTCAGTGAAACTTACACTCCCATTAAATTCAATTATTCATTGCTACTGCACCAGACAGGCTGGTTTAACTAAGCCACGGAGATGCTGGTACATGTGTAATCAAATAAAAGCCTAATGCAAAATAATGAGCACTGCATTGCTTAACACGTGGTCGATATTACGTCGAATTCCCCCTTTGGGACTGAGTTAAAATTAGACTTGACTTCAAATTATATTTCCATCACGCATCATACATGTCTGACTGTCATTTAAAAAGCCCGTGCAAACAATAACAGTACTCACACCCCGTCTTTTCCGCCAGATCAATGTATTCTGGCTGACCAGGTAAGGACTGTAGAGCACCCATTCCTCCAAAAAGCTCCTACCTGACCGGTCCAGTTTTAACGGGACCCGAGACACAAACGAACCGAAAGTGTAGGAGCTGAAACGGATCTCAGAGGATCATGTTTCGGAATCATCCATCTCCACCTGGGCGTCTGTGTAACAGATGCAGCTCACACCTCCTCTTTCCTGCGCTGTCGCAACTTCCGCAACTATCGTCTTGATGACGACACAGTTTTAGGAACAACAGGCTGCAGCTTGAATTATTTATTCAGACTTTTCTTTTATTATTTATTCAGTGGCTGCGAGCATTGACTGTGACCTATTTGTTTACTGTTCATGCAGGAAGGATGGAGTGCAGAGATAGCAGGTGCGCAAGTAATTCTCAAACATCATAATACAGGCGTAATTGACTGAAAGATGAGACATATTGTTACAAACTGCACATAATTCTGAAATATTTCAATTATTTTTATATTATTTCACCATGAATTATGATTACACCAATTTACTGCTTTAATCAATTTAGACCTGCCTGTTCCACAGGTGGATCCACCTGTAAAGGCTCAAAGGGGAGAGTTGGGCTGGTTGCAAAAAGTCCTCCAATCAGAAACATGATAGAGGGATGGCGCTCGTACTGCACATGCTCAGTTAGACCCTCCTCCAACCAGGAAGTCAGCAGAAACACTCAACATCTGCTGCTGCATTTATTGAAAAAGACTTGTTTTGAAGGTATGAAAGTAATTTTTTTCATGAGTGGTATTTTTTGTCAAACTGTCCGGACCTTGTATCAATTCATCAAAACTTACTTAGCTTGAATCATTGTTTTGACATGGTTAGCATGTGTCAAACTAAGCGTATCCAGCTAGCACATGATGCTCTGTCATGGCTGATAGGATTGGGATGGTTGCAATAACTTATTGTAACTGTCCCCAAGTTAAGCAATCATATCAAAACAGACCACACAAGAGTATGTCTCAATGGTTTTAGTTCAAAATATGCAGTATATGCAGCTAAATTTGTCCCATAGCAAAAAAGATGTAACAATAATTGCTCATTTTAATGTATAAGAGAATACAAACAAGTTATTTTGGGAATTATTTTGTCTGCCTATTATGGTATCCTAGTATATATTTTTAATGTATATTTATATATTGGAATACCATGGTTATTGAGACAAAAACCAAAAGTTAATTAGTGAAATTAAATGTATTTTGAATATTTTGCAACTATCCCCGATCCGTGTTGCTACTGTCCCCAGGATTGGGGTCAGTTGCAACGTCGGAATTCTTCCTTTCAAATAAATATTGTGAATGATATGTCATATGTTATCATTTTTTGATGGTGTGGGTAATTAGCAGACAGATCCTAAAGGAGTTTTTTTATCAAAACGCAACTGGACTTTGATTATTTGTCTGGGAAGACGTTTCACCTCTCATCCAAGAGGCTTCATCAGTTCGTGTACGCATCTGACCAGGCTGGGACTGGTCTAACTTTCTGGTGTGGAGACCCAAGTATTTAACCTCTTGTGGGCGTTCACAAGGCTGATGATGTCATTGGTTTCTGTTTGTGCTCCAAGTGTCAACGACAGTCGTTTGCACGACCGTTGTTGGTGGGAAGTTGGTTTGTGTGAACGCCCACAAGAGGTTAAATACTTGGGTCTCCACACCAGAAAGTTAGACCCGTCCCAGCCTGGTCAGATGCGTACACGAACTGATGAAGCCTCTTGGATGAGAGGTGAAACGTCTTCCCAGACAAATAATCAAAGTCCAGTTGCGTTTTGATAAAAAAACTCCTTTAGGATACCATGACCTGGACAAATGAGAATATACACAGGCTAGCAGACAGATGTAAGTTTAATATATAAAAGTTTGATTGGTCTTGTCCAAATAGTCTCTGAGTAACTGAGAGAAATACAAAAAGTGTTGCAATCATCCCCAGTCTCCTCTACTGTGGATTATACACCTACAAAACCTAATTTTAAATTCTGGACATTTCAAGGCGTCCAAAATTATCAAACATGTCAAGCTGAACTAAAATGATGTACAAGACATCTAAGGATGGTTCTATTTGATATAGTTGTGTAGCCTTAAAAACATGGCACTTTGATAGATAGAAGTTTCCAGCGTCAAGAATGAACTCTGAACCTCACTCATAGAAGTAGGTCAAATACTGTGTATTGTTTATTGTAGCCTTTGCTGCTAAACTGACAGTGCGTGACTTTTTGCATCTTGCTAGGAGTTTAAATATTTGTGGTAGTTATCAGAACTGAATAGCATGTCCATTGTATTTGATCAAGTTGGAAGTTTAAACTTCTGACCTCTGCTTCTGACTCCATGAGCAGACTTGTCATCTACTTGAGCTTAACTAAACAATACACATCCAACTGTGAGACCCAAATGACTCCCTCCTCTCACAATACTTATGGGGGTGTGGCTTGGAGTTGAACATGTTTGAATATTGCAAACCACAGTCAGTAAGCATCAGGTTTCTGCCATTTGTGAGTCACTGTAAGAGCCTGGACTCCTAAAACTTACTCAGACACAACATGTAGGGAGTGATATCATCCACATATCCTGCATGAGAATCTTAGAGCTAAAATGTCTTTTGTTTGTCAAAAAAAAAAAACCATAAAGCTCATCTTTCTTTAGCGATTCATATGATGTTTTTGTAAAACCTGACCATATGTGATTATATCCAAAGCTTATTCTATTTTTACTCAGACCTGCAATGTGAAAATCTAACTATACACATGGAGGATGTGTCCAAAAATATGTTATTGATTAAAACTATGTAGTGCTAATGTAGACCACATGGTGGTAGTGTTTTATCAACAATTGGATGAACATCAGTTACTGAAGTTAAAGAATCCGTTCTTGATGTCATTTTGTCTTGCTTTCATCACAGCATATATATATGATGTGTGCATGTATGTGTATTTATTTTATACTATGTTAACTCTCAGTCACTTGAGAGTAGCATTCATGGTTCCACATCGTGTCATTTCCTCTACATTAACTTGTGTTGAATGTATTGTTAATCACAGGGTACTCATTTTCAGTATTATATCAACAAATTATACCCTGTCAGTCCTCTTTCCCCATCATTTGTAAGGCATTGTGTGGCGTTTCATCAAATTGTAATGAGCTGATCCCAACCCATTCTATTTCGCAGCTGCTTCCAGAGCTGTCAAGCCCCACAATGTGTAATGGTTACATCCTTCAGTCATGAGGAATAGCTGTCATCGTTATTGGTGAATCAAGAGGCATCATAAGTACAACACAACTGAACCTTTTTAAATATATATGATCTTATCCTACAATTTTAATCCTGTTACCTTCCATCAGACACTGTTCTTTTTCCACCTCTTGAATTTTTTGTTAATCCTCCTTTTAGATACCAGATTCTATCACAAATCGACAGAAAACGATTCAAGCTAGACTTAGATGTGTGTGTGTGTGTGTGTAAGTTTCCTGTACAATGCTACACTTTACTCACACTTGAGGGTTTATTGGAATTGTCAGTTTGTAATCTTAATCACTCAACAGGTTTTATCACCTTACTGTCGCCTTATACACAGTCTATTGAGAAATCTGAAAGCCTTATTATGACATTTCCCAATTATGAATTACAAATTAAGGTGCAGTAACAGAATGTTCTGTTAGAGGACTATTTCTATGTGTTTTGATACACCTTGGTTAATTAAGAGTTCCCCCCTCAAGCTATAATCATCTGCTCATAAGAGCTTTTTATGTTCTGTGTGTCAAGATTGTGTGACTGATAAAATGCAACCTGTGTCGAAGCATTAGTCCTTGCACCACGGTCAGATCAATCAGTTAGAGGGCCTCAGGGTAATCAGTTGTTGTGAGGCCCCTGTTGCCCACCCATCCCCCACACCCTCATACTAGGAGACCCACAAACCAACAATTGCTCCTATACTGGAACACTACTTGGCCTCATGTTTTCTGTGTGCCATTCATTGCCGGTGCAACATAACAGATGAGTACAATATACAAAACTACAATTTCACACAAGATTAGAACAATGCAGGACAGGAATTTGAAATTTGCATACAACCAGTTGAACTGAGGGTCTCAGGAGGGCCGAGCCCTGGGGAAGTTGCCCATTTTGACAAGCTGGTAATCCGTGCATGATGAAGCAACATTTAACATTTTATTGTTATTATCTTTGAACCCAGGGTGATGCACTAGGTCAAAGTTCATATTCTTTATGGTTGACAGGAATATGGACTATAAGCAAACTCCAACTATTGTCAATTAAAAAAAAATGAAAAAACAGTTAAAAACGGTTTGATTATGTGTAAGCCACTGGCCTCTGGCAGCTCAGAGTAAAAGAGGATGTTTGTGGTCGAAAGAGCTCGACCGAATCAGAACGTTCATTTATTTTCCCTGTGCGGGGGAATTGATGCATCTAGTAGTACACAATCAATCTGGTCTGAAAAACAACAATACATTTTTGGTCTCTGCCCTTGAAATGTTCTTTCTCATAAAATTGTCTCACTTGCTGCGTGTTGTGTTTGTGCGTGTTGAAGCTATTACCGAGTGCACTACGTTTGATGGCTGGAAATTGATTAGAATAAAGACTCTGCTTCAGAGAAGAGGGAGGAGAGAATATAAGGAGGTGCCTGTTATACATGGAGACAAAAAGGGGCGGAAAAGCGTGGCCAAGGAGAGAGGGCAGCCTGAACCGGCAGCCTGAGCCTGAGCCTGTTTTGCATGCACGGGGGCTTCTGTGGGAGAAGGAGTTGACAGGGCGCCGCAGTGCTGCCTCCAGCTCTCAGACAACAGCTGCTCAGAAAGAGGAGACGTCCTGAGGGTGCTGCGACATGTCTCGCTCTCTCTCCATCTCTCTTTTCACCTGTCTGCCTCTTCCTTTCAGCAAGCAGACATACGCTAGACACATGTGCAACTCACTGCCTTCCCCACATTCACACAAACACACACGTCTCTTTCTCAATGACACACACGCACTCGCATCAGAGCATGTGGGTTGTGAGATTCATAAGAAATTGGCAGGCTGCCTCTGCTCAGACAAAACACTCAAAATAAACCAGGTATAGCTGAGTGTTTGATGGATTCTGTTTCTTACTCGGAAAGATGCTTATGAAGAACAATTATCAGCAGTTTA